GCCCAAATTTCTACTCATGCTTATATGTTCCTTCTTAATGTTTGCTATAGGAAAAGGGAAGGCCTATAGAATTCCTTGGAAAATCAAGGGAGATGATTGGTCCAACTTGCTACACAGGCAGAATCTGACTTGGTTCAGAAAGCTCAACATGCGAGAAACACGTTCCCTGGGAGGCACCAGGGGAAGTGCTGGTCAGTTGGGTTTGTCCTCACTGCCTTCAGCCTTGGGGCTGCCAGGAACTCTGTACTCACTTTTTTCCTACTCTTGACACCACTCTTCTGAAAAGATCTAATAAACGTATTCATACTAAGGCATTCATGGCATCCAAGGAGCTATTTGCATTTGATAGAACACAAAGTCCCAAGAGTGAATCTGGACTTGCAGGGTCAGGGACCCTTCCCAGCCCCTCTGCAGTCACACCACGTATGCCTGCAGGTTGGTACCTACTCATAGGGTCATCTTCGCAGCACAATAATAACAATAATTACTTACAGTCACTTAATATTCCAGGCACAATGCTAAGTGCTTTGCAAAAGCTACATCTTTAATCATGATACACAGGAGACTGCCCTTATGAAAAAGCTGTTCACAGGCTGTGTGTCCTCCACTGGGTTTTAAAGAAGCCAATGAACATATTGGAAGCCACATTTGTTTCCTTTATATTCTTAAGATAAACTGATACGTTCCAGTAGTCCTTAGTGTAAAACCTAAAAAATGCCAGTTTACCCAGTTCACAAATTTATCCATAAATCATAAGCTTATGATTAACTAATTATAAAAGCATTTCCAAAAACACAGTAATGAGAACAAGTTCCCCTCTTCCAGATGACATGCGTCATCATCTTACTCTCCAGTCCTCCCCTGCTCCACCAAGAAGCAATTAAATTTTCACTAGCTTTTGCTCTAAGGTATTGCAGTATGCAGTGTTTATCATTTATTATCAGTCATCATTTTTAGTGCCATCTGGTAGACACAAAACTGATTAACATTAGTGTTCAGTAGAAGTAAACCAACAATTATTTATTTATCGACTCTGGGAATGAAAATGAATCAGTTTACTAATGATTCATGCTCTAAACTGTGGATGCTTTTGTCTCCCCCGGTTTGTCCTTCTCAGACCTCAGGCTGTTACTTTAGATGACATGACTGACTATAGGACACAGCCAGGACTGCCTATAAGTCATGGCTTGTTGGCAAGCGTATAGATTATAATTTGCACTCTACAAAGGAGTAGGTGTAGCATTTATTAAGATGAGTTAGCAAAGATCTTTTATCTTTTTAATGGACTAATCAAAGATCACATGCTCCGTTATTTCCTTTACAGAATTAGTTATGCTCTTTGTCCTGAATCCACACTTTTATTTCTTCTGGGGAGGTGGGGATGGGGTTAGGGGAAGACCTAAGACAAATTTCCTAAAAGGAATATTATTTGCTGCCCTGGAGAAGTTGTGAGGATGAAGCTAATAGCTGAATGACTCTGGTCACCTAGTACCAGCCACTCTCCCGCCTTCAGTCAAAACACATTGATTGCCATGTTCTCCTGCAGTCATGAATAGGAAATATTGATGCATAAACAGTAGAACTAAACAAAATGAAAAAGAATTTGGTCAGGCACCAGTCTAGAACTGCAATGAAGAGCTGCTGTTTTGAGTTTGAACTTTAAAATCCCGATCAGCCTCAAAATAAAAAATTTAACGAAGAAAATAAGCAATTACTCTTAATATTTGTATTTTTTAACAGACAAATAAATTAAATATGGGACACTTGTACAGCAAAGGACTGTTCTAAATGCCAAAGACAATAGAAGGGTAGGCTTTAATTTTTTTTCTTCAACTGTAAGTAAAATCAAAAATCTTAATGAAACAAAAAATGTGTATCTATTGCACAGAATGTTAATGTGATAAAAATTGGTTCCCATATACTAAGATGGCTTTGAAATTGCCCTACAGCTCAGAAGACTTTTTCAAGAAGGTATAATTAAGTCACTACTTGGTTGAAAATATCCTTCATAACAGTCTGAATCTGCCTCTATTTAAACCTGTTAATAAAACTGTTAATGGACCAAAACCTTAATTATTTCCACAACACTAAAATTTCACCTAGAATCTATTTAAAAAGGAAAGTAGGCCTAGTCTGAGATGATTAATAATGTAGTTAATAGGTTAAAAGGGCAAAGTGTGGTGTTTGTAATGCAATTCTGGAAGTTAGTCCTGTTGGGTTAATTCTTGTCTTCAAGATTACTGTTTCTCTCTTAATTTCATCATCTGTTTTTTTTTAATCGAAGTATATTCAGTTTACAACTCTGTGCCAATTTCTGGTGTACACCATGATGTTTCAGGTATATATGTACATACACATATTCCTTTTCTTATTCTTTTTCATTATAGGTTACTACAAGATATTGAATAAAGTTCCCTGTGCTATACAGTATAAACTTGTTGTTTATCTGTTTTATATATCGTTGTTAATATCTACAAATCTCAAATTCCCAATTTATCCCTTCCCATCCCCTTTCTCCCATGGTAACCATAAGTTTCTTTTCTTTGTTTATGAGTCTGTTTCTGTTTTGAAAATAAGTTCATTTGGGTCTTTTTTTAGATTCCACAATAAGTGATATCATATGGTATTTTTTTCTTTCTGGCTTACTTCACTTAGAATGACGATCTTCAGGCCCATCCATGTTGCTGCAAATGGCAGTATTTTATTCTTCTTTATGGCTGAATAGTATTCCATTGTATAAATATACCACAACTTCTTTCTCCAGTCATCTGTCGATGGACATTTAGGTTGCTTCCATGTCTTGGCTATTATAAATAGTGCTGCTATGAACATTGGGGTGCATGTATCTTTTTGAATTAGAGCTTCCTCCAGATATATGCCCAGGGATGGGATTGCTGGATCATATCATCATCTGTTCTGGATAAAATGATTTCTCATCCATATTACAAGTGAGAAGGCTAGCAATGCTGGAGCCAGGAGAATGATGCATGTGCAGAGTTTATCTGTGAGAAATGAGTAACCCAGAGAACAGCATTGACTGTCTCCCTTTGGAGGTAGTGGCACAACTACTGATGGTTAACATGAAGAGCCATTTCAGTGTCTACCTCAGCAGTGGTTTAGGGCTTAGACCAAAGTTCCAGCATGATCCTATCCCTCCAAACTGAATGACAACCAAATAGTTCCCAGACCCACACTTTTCCCTTCTTTTCCCTTTTAAAAGAAATTAACTGTGTGGCTTAGGTATTTTGTCATTATGCCATGACTAATATACACACACAATTCATTAGCAGCTGTCTCCCTGGTGCCTGGTGTGGAGGTGTCTGGTCTAAAACTAATGGCTTCCTTATCTCAAGATCACTTTGTGTCAGGGCACTTGTGTTGAATTTCTCCTCTTCCCATTTCTCCCTCCTGTTCCCAGCCCAAAAAGTAATAGAAATTGTGCTTATTTTTTTCATCCTCTTGGATAGTTACTGTCACCGTGAATAGACTTCTGATATGTTATAACTTCTCACCAGATCCCTCAAACCATTAGGTTGAAAAACTATTATCAACTCAAGTATAATCTATTAATTTGGTGATGAATCTTGGGCATTAGCTTAAACATAAATCCACTAAAAGCTAAATCAGAGCCAGCCAATCTGAGATCTCATAAATTATGGTTTAATTCTATTTTGTTTCCAAAATCCAAATATTAACCAAGTGGTGTAGCACTTTTTGATCAGAGGTACTTGGAACTGAAAGTCATTTCACTGAACTTAACTTTGTAGCGTGAAACTATGGAATTCAGTATACTTGGGAAATGCAAGTTTGTGGAAGGGTTTCTTTATTAATGGCTACTAATAATGGCCTGTAATCAAGGTAGACCTTTAGCAAATATTATCTACTTAATTACTGTATAAATAGGATAATTCTTGAATTCCTAATCGTCTTTCCTGCTAAATCTTAATGTCAAAATTAGCTGCCTTAGGAAGTAGTGAGTACCTTCCCTTACATTAGATATAACTAATATGAGTTGCAAGTGCCTTTAAAAATCATTTGTAGACTAACCTCTCCTAGATTTTTTGGATAAACATGAAAATATCCCTGCACTAAGCAGTTAATAAAGGGATTCTTAGACTAGTGGTTTGAGTATGAACCAGCCTCAAGGTTTCTATAGAAGTCAGATTTGAAATCTAGGTAACTTCTCTCATTCTCTCTTAAGATTCTCCTATGACAATGGGGTTCAAAACATACAGTGGTTTTTAAAATGAGTAATTAACATCATTTGGAAGAATTGAGCTTTCTTAATATAAGCAGCATGATTTTTATAGTACATACCAAATCCCCAAGTCTTCTATGTTAAAATACAGATTCCATAATTTGATTGCTGTGAACTGCCCTAATTTGGATTAACTATCTTTGTCCTTTGACAATGAACGCCCCCAGGTAGAATCAGAGAGAAGTGGGAGTAAACCAGATAAAGGGATTTGCACACTTGCCTTTATCTTCCTTCCTATCCGCGGGAGTGATTCCTGGCACAGGGACCAGCAGGTTTGCCTAGATGTGGTAACCTTGTCTTCTTCCCTGTGTTTTTGTGCCCTGTCCTAACCCCGTTCTAAACTAAAGGCTGATTGAATGAGTAAATCCCGTGCCATGGGCCGTCTCCCTCTGTCTGATTTGTTGTGTGCCAAGCCTCTGCAGTGTTCTCCTAAGCCAGACTGTCCTGTACTGACCTTGTTTTTGAAACTCTGAGAACAGCACTATTAACAGTTCAACATCATCTTACATCACCCAAATACCATATAGCACTGCTGCTTCAATTCCTCTCTGCTTTTTCAGGTTAGCTAGAGAAAAAAAATCTCAATAATCAGAAGTATTGCATGGAAAATTTCCTTAAAAGACTGTCATTTCAGAGATTTTTAAATGTACTGTGGCAAAAAGTTTAATTTGGCCTATTGTGGCTTTAGAACTCCACTTCCTAGACTGGGTGTGTGATTTCAGTTTTTCAATTTTAACATTTTGTTTTATTCCCAGCTCTTGTGGTAGCTGTTCTGCGCTTCATACAACTGAAACCAAAGGTTTTAAATCCGTGGCTGAATATTAGTGGATTGGTGGCACTCTGTCTGGCTTCCTTTGGAATGACCTTACTTGGTAATTTTCAGGTACTTCATTTGGCCTTTTTCACCTCCATCTCACACTTCATCTATATGATTATCACAGCCATTGAAGTATAGTCACTATGTGGCCCATAAAATTCTGCATGAACCTTAAAAAATGCTAACAGTGCTTCCTGATATGCATGGTTCCCCAGCAGTCAGCCCGTCTGGGCTTTGAGCCTACGTGTGCTCACTATGTATTGGAAATGCTGCATGGCTACTGGGAAACATAGCTACTAAAATAGCAGTATGTTTTCTACAAAGGCTTTCAAAGTGCTGTACACTTTCTTCATAACAAATTGTATCCTAATGTACCTTTCTAGAAAACTAATAGGATATTGCCTTTCTAGAGTTATACACTGAACAGCTTTATTGGATGAAAGCTTGCATTTCAGGTTAGTAAGCTCATGTGCGAGTCAAATTTGAAAACTCAGAATTTCTTTAGAATGCTTGTGACCTGGATAAAGTTACATTCACCCTAACTCTTCTTCCCAGAAATTTAGAAGCCCATGGTCACTGAAGCATAATTTCCCTTGCCATTGCCATCCCCCAACTCTTGACCTAAGTGATTTCTTCGGAAACTAAACATGGAGATCCCCGCAGTGTTACAGCAGCTGTCTGACTTCCCTGCCTCCATTCCCTCCCCAGCATCCTCCAACCTACACTATATACGCGGCTAGAAACTTCCTCCTTGCACTCAAACACCTATCCTGACCCTTCTCCCCCATCTACTGAGTGAAATCCAAATCGTGTAGGCATTCCAGACCCTCACATTCTAGTGAGCATTTAATAATGTTCTTACTGAAAATACGGTAGTGGATTTTTTCTAAGACTGTCTCTTGTTCTTAATTCAGTGCTGATAATTTATTAAATTGGGATAACTCATCTCCCTGAGACAAGACATCCACTGGCACATTGTAGCAACTCAACAAGTATATTTTACTTAATGAGTCGTTCAACAGATAGGCAATCCCACTGATTTCTCTCTCTATTCCAGGTCTCATTTCCTGTTAACCTAGATAATGAGAAAGCTGCATTCTTAGGATATATTGGCTAGGACAGTGAGCTAGAACACAAGAGATAATTGAGAGTTTATCTGTTAAACTCCAAAATATTAGGGCACAGAGCATTTTTTATTGAGATTTTGATGGGAATTCTTCCTCCACTTACCTGTCTGTGCTGCAGGTGCCGGCGTGTTGTAAAATGCTCAATAACTATCATTTCTTTCATCCGGGTCTTGGATGGACGTTACTGAGTAGACATTTTGTTCTAACATTCCTAGAAGAATCCCAGTGATTGGGTTGTTTGGGTGAACCAAAAATATTCAAAACCATAAATGTTGGCACTACCTATGAAGAACAATTTCTGGAATATGTACAGATTACATAGTAAACAAATAACACACTAGTTGCCAGGTGCCTAATATATGAGATAGGAGACAGACTTTTCAGTCTATTCTGTTTATAATTTTTAAAGTTTGACTGATGTAACTATATTATCTGATTTTTAACTGTTTTTTAACTTTTTAAATTGAAGTACATTCAGTTACAGTGTGTCAGTTTCTATATTATCTATTTTTAAAATTAGTTTTTAAAATAAATGAATAGACTGTGTACAGCATGGAAAACCAAATTCCTCGATAATTTGATTTAGGGAATCATTATTTAAAATGTTTACAAAATATGTGTTTTGAACTGTAAAGGGGGAAAAAAAGTGACTTATTCCAAAGAAGAAAAAATTCTATAGCCAAACCAAAGAAAAAAATTGTGAAGGGAAAGTAATATTGATTTGATACAACTATTATTAACAGCAATGTCAAACAATAAAACACCTGGAGGCAATGGCGATTCAAAAAATATATTTTCACCATGTTTTTAAAGCCATCTCTTCAACAGTAGATTTTCCTGTATGTATCCTATATGTGGGGGGTAGTATATGTGTAGTTAAAAGTATATGTAATTACTGAAGGTGTTTTAAGTAACAATTTTTTTTTTAATCAGTGGGTCATGATTTGCATGGGGCAGTTTGCATCTCTCACCCCTAACTGAAATAATCCAAATGGGTCTCCTTTAATCTATTAACTGTATAAAAGCTTTGACCAGGTATCTTCAAACACTGTTGCCCTTTAATGGGTCTCCAGATATGGCAAAAGCTCCGAAGTGCAGTTTTCTTGTAATATTAGGAAAACAAACAAAAAAAGGCCATTAGCAGTGAATTGGCCACATCATAGCCTGGGCAGTTTTGTAGCAGTAAAGAACAGCCCAAGTGTTATTAGGTGCCCAGGCCAATAAAATCTTCACCTGCTTGGAATTGGCCATCGTCAATCAGTAAGTAAGTACACAGCCAGATTCTGGTCTTATTTATTATTCTAGAAAACAGTTTGGGGTTTATGTTCATATAAACTTTACATTTCTCTCTCTCTCTCTCTCTTTTTTCTGTTATAACTATCTTGCTTTTTTCTTTCACTTTTCCACAAAGCTTTTCTGGAAAACAAAATCAAAGAATAGATTACCACTGCCTGTATGATTTTTTCAAATAAATGTTTTGAAATTTGAGGTACTCTTTATTTCCCTTCTTCTCCTCAGAGTTTAAACCAATGGAGAACAGACACAAAGAGCCAATGGGAGGCTCTATTCTTTCTAAAATCTATCATCCCATTATTGAGACATCCCTTTACCTAATTTTCCTGCCTCACATATTCCATTGGCTTGTATGTCTTTTCGAAATGGGCCTCCACATGTCATTACCTATTCATCCTTTAGCTCACAAACGATGAAGAAATCCATAATGTGGGAACTTCCTTGACTTTTGGATTTGGCACCTTGACCTGCTGGATCCAGGCTGCACTGACACTCAAAGTCAACATCAAGAATGAAGGACGGAAAGTTGGAATTCCACGAGTTGTTCTCTCAGCATCTATCACTCTCTGTGTGGTCCTCTGTATCCTTTGAAAGTGAATAGGTTCCTTGCCAGTGAGGTTAAAACACAGATAACTTGTCTAGATAGAAGATGAGTAACTCGCCATTCTCTGTTGGTTTGACTATACTGTCAGCTCATCTCAGAATCTTAGACAAAAAAGAAAAGTAAATGGGTATAAAAACGAAAACTTTCAGACCTATCTTTCATGCCAAAGAGGAGATGGAGAACTAAAAATAAAAGAAGATCTGCCTTCTCAAAATTGTTTCAAGCTGTCGGAATGGTGTCAGGCATTCTCCTTACCACTACTGATGTAAATAAATTTCCCTTTGTGAAAAACATAGAATGCATAACCAAAAGAGAATTGTGATCTTTTTCTTTCCATCTTAAAAAAATATTTCATTTGTGACTTTGTTAGTGACTGTTATTTAAAAATTTATGAACTCTAAAATGAATTTCAAGGGACAAATCATTTATATCTTTCAAGAATACAAGTAACCTTTTCTGGAAAAGAAATTCAAGAACTAGATTACCAGTCCATGTACTGTTGTCCTAAACAAATATTTCTGAGGTTTTGAGGTACTATTTATTTCCCTTCTTCCCTCGGTGTCGAACCAGTGGAGAACAGACACAAGGAGCCAGGTGGGAAGAAATGAGCCTTTATTCCCGGTAAAGTTGGAAAGGAGGATCGTACAGGCCTCTTAGCTCACGCCTGGAATTCAATTTATCCACCCAGTAACAAGCAGAGAAATCAGGGAAACGCAGAGACCGTGAACTTAACGCTAACCAGAGCGCAGAGAGGCTCATGCAGGGTGGAGCACGTGACCCCACCTATGGGTGGCACAGCCCAATGGAAGCCTCCCACTTCAGAGCCCACCAATCAGATCAGTCACTCACTCCGTGCGGCAGAGTGCTCACTCCACTGGGTCCTCGGGAAACAGAAGAAGAAGGAAATAAGGTTCCCAGATGGCAGACTGTGTCTAGGTAACAAAATTACACTCTTCAATGTAATAGCCAATATTTATAGAGCACTTATAATGTGCTAGGCATTATTCTAATAAGCACTTTAAGTGTGTCAACTCTTTAAATCCTCACTTAACAGGTAAGAATAGTGAAAAACAGAGGTACCCAAAATCACACGTGGTATGTGTCGATCTTGTTTTAAACTCAGACTCAGTTCTTGCACTCTTAACCATGTATGCCATCCCTTCTGAGAGAAAGTGGCTTTGAAATACGAAGATCAGTTCAGTGTTCAGAGACGTTCTTTTGTTAGTGGAGTATTTGGAGCCATCTATTTCTTCTGCCCTCACAAACTACCATAATCATTTTAGTGGTTTTCTGAAGTTCTGCAGTCACATTAGATAAAGAACATTTAAGGACTTGAAATTCAAGCCAAAAAACGTGTTTATTGCTAGCAACCTGATGAAAGTATTTTGTGAGTAAATAGGTCAGAACTCTGCCAATGTGAGATCTGAAGATGTATCCCTTCCCCATAAACTTAAGAAATAAGTTGATACTGCTTTGGCAGAATTTTGAACCTTCAATCAGAAGAATGTGTCCATATTTTAAGTTATTCTGAGTTTTGAGCTAATACCAAACAAGTCTGATTCATGCTTTTTCTGAAGACTTGTAAACATTTCTTGGTTTCTAGGTGAATGGATCCAAGCCAAATCAAGAGAGCAAAGTTTGGCTGAAGTCATTTCTTGCTCTCCAAAAATTTTCCACGATTTTAAGTCTAAGTTCTGAAGGTAGAACTAATTCTAAAGGAACATTTCTGATTTTTCTAAATAACTTTATTTAGTCCTTGGCCTCTTAGCCTTTTACTAAGAAGTGTTATGAACCTTTCTCCTTCCCAGCTTCTACCTTCATATATACTGGGGTGGGGGGGTGTGTACACCCACATGTGTGTATATACAGTCCATGTATGCTTGGCCATAGGCATCTCATCTGTTTGTTTGTTGTTTTAATTGCCTGTTTTCATTTGGGTACAAGTTTAAATGCTACACCAGGAATGAAACCAGCCTATACAGTATTGTCTGAAAGGCAATAGTGAGAACTAGATAGAGGAGGAAGAGGGGCCACTTAGACATTATAAGTAGCACTGCGGAGACAAACACAGCTTATATGGAGGTAGTTAGCTATTTGTATGCGTTCAGATTACTCCGTAGTCATTTGCAGTGTCTTTTTTAATATAACTTTATTTATAATTTAAATAATAACTTTATATTATTTATTTATGTAAATAATGACCATATGTATTTAAATAATAACTTTATTTAAATAAACTTTATTTATTTATTTTTCTGGCCAACTAATTACTTGGGAATTGTAATTCTTTAGCTGATCTCAGTTATTAGGCAGCTGTAGACAATGGTCAAATGTATGGCCTGGGAGTCGGAGTGCTTGTGTTTGAATCCCGGTTCCACCAGTTAATACCTGTGTTACCCATTTGGCCTCCGTTTCCCTATTTTAGATGAACTGATGAGAATAGGATGTTGTGAGGATTAAGTTTCTGTGAAAGCACCTAGAAGCATGTCTGGCACAAAGCAAGAGCTCAACAGCAGTACCTTGTATTCTTCATGTAGGTTCAGCAGGGTCTGTCAAACTAGCTTGCTAGTGATGGGGATGGCCAGACTTTTCCTGTAAACCGTCTCCGTCCAGAAAAGAATCCTGTTTTAATGTGACCGACGCGGGTACCTTCCTTGACTACTTCTCCCCAGACTTCATCCTCATGGCCCAAGGCATCCACATGTACGCCGCCAGGGTCCAGTGGGGCCTCGTCATGTGCTTCCTGTCTTACTTTGGCACCTTTGCTGTGGAGTTCCGGCATTATCGTTATGAGATCGTTTGTTCTGAATACCAGGAGAATTTCCTAAGCTTTTCAGAAAGCCTGTCTGAAGCTTCTGAATATCAAACCGACCAGGTGTAACCCATCAGTTGTTCCTTGCTGGTGCGGTGGGTGCAGCAGCAGGGGAGGGGCCAGGACACACCCACCGGACTTGACACATAACCTCACGACACATCACACACACACACGTCCGTGGCCACAATTGCCAAATGAGCTTTTCAGGGCGAGTCATTTAACAAAAAAGCACAAGCCCTAGGTGTCGAAATACACGCCGTTACACTGAAAATATATTGCACGACAGAGCAAGAAGCTTGTGCACGATCACGTCTCTTTCCCTCCCTCTCCCAGCACCCCCTGCTCTTCTTGTCCTCTTCACATATTTCAGATATCGTGACCCCCCCCACCACCACAGAGTAGGGCGGGCTGAATGTCACAGGGGAATAACACCAACTCCTGACATTGCCTTCTGATCCAAAGGGCTTGGAACCGGCTCATGAGGAAATTCTGACTCTGGCACCAATGCTCTTGAATGGAGAGGGTATCATCCAGGTAGATGGACACCGTACAGAGATGTGACCCTGCGTAACCTCTGGGTGCTACGGGAGCACAGGAAGGACAGACCTTTCCCACAGAAACTCCCTTCATCGTTGCTCAGTGCTTGGCTGAGCAGATGCAGTGAAAGGAATTCCTGACAAGTTACGGGAGGGAAGCCCACCACCGTGATTTGGACTTTACTGTAACTGAGAAAATATTTCCAAATGTGAATATTTGCAGGGACACGGTGTGCCAGACATGGAACAAGATGGGGGCAACGAGTATGGTTTCACTTTTGCTTCTATAGTACCCTACGTTCAGTTTTTCTTTTATATTTCATGGTTTGCTTTCTTTTTTTCTTTTCCTTTAGTAACTACCATGGGTCTCTTGAGGCCTCATGGATAAAGAAAACGTAGGACAAATGCAAGAACTGATCTTGTTTGGGGTTCAACTATGATCAAAGGAAAAAGAAAAAGGTCACTTGCAGGCTTATTTGCTGCTTTTATGTTTGAAGCTAAGAAAATGTTCACAGAAAAGCACAAAGAAACACGCGTGGAGGTACCAAAAAGAGCTCCTGCTGGACATTTATAAAAGATAGAAGTTTTAGAGCATCTTGTTGCAAGTCCAAATCAGGGGGCAGTTTCTTAATACGTATCTATAGCTCAAATTTAGTATTTGGGCGGGGGGGCAGATAAGGGCTTTTCATACTTGGAATTTGTAGAAGTCGATTAAAACATTACCCTCCCCCAAAACAAACTGGTGCAGCTAGTCTCCTGCTACCCAACATGCAATTCCCACCAGCTCAGAGTTTAGAACTCAAGCCATAGGCCTGGGCTTCTGAGGCTTTGCTTCATAAAGATAAGAATTCTAAATTCAGGATGTGTGAGAGTGGGCCACGGTGATAGACCCTCCATGAGTGCACTTTGTTTCAAGAAATCCCCAAACTGACTTCACAGGGGCTTGGGATTTCATGGAATATAATGTGAAAAAACACTGTTTTTTAATTCAGCCCAAACTCTGAGCCTCTTGAGGAGGGAGGGGGCCGATGACTTTTCACCTCTGTATTTGTCGCCGCCTCCTAGCACAGTGCCTGGCACGTCTTAGGTGCTCCACAAACATCTGTTGACTAGAATTCCTGGTAATTGAAAGGAGCATCAGAGAAAGACTCAGAGATGAGTGAGAGAGAATAGATGATCATTTCCTGCAAGACAGGAATGGAAGAAAGCATGAGTCAGGGTTAGATGGGGGAATGAGAATGCCTCTGAGGGATAAGTGAAATGGGAGAAAAAGAGGCAAGCAGGGAGTGTTCTATTAGAAAGGCTAATACTGTAAATAGTCCAAGGTGACATTTATTATTTTTGAATACTGCTTTTGGGGTTTTTTTTCCATTTTTATATTTTAAAAATGTTATCAGAGAACAGAGATTTATGAAGTTTTCTTTTACTCTACACAATCCAAATTAAATAGCTTTTGGTGATGCACTGTACACTTTCTTAAGAGTAAATCTAATAGCACATTTTAACAGAATCAAGCAATGACTGGCATTATTCATTGGGATCTGACCACTAAATAAAATTCTTTAATGCAGAACTGTGATTTTATTTTTTGGCTTCTTACACAAACATTTCTTCCCTCATATGGAAGCATGTGTAAACTCAATTAAACATTATGTTGAAAACAAACTTCAGTAGTACGTTGGTAGCATATTTCTAGGGTGTTTTCCAACACTAACAGCCAAGTCTCTGATTCTCTGGACACCAACTGGGTGTCCTACAATTCAGTTCAATTCTGACACTTAACTACCCAGAGTTATTGTCAGACCCCACAGGTTTAAAGGCTCGGTCCCACAAGACTACCCTCACTTCAGATGCCAGTCCCGAGTTTCAGGTCCCCAGGTTACCCACACTTCTGTCCAACCTGGCAGTAAAATGGAAGAGTTCCCACAGCTCCCTTCCCTTTTAGATTCAATAATTTCCTAGAATGGCTACAGAACTTGGGGAAACACTTCCATTTGCTGGTTTATTATAAAAGATACAACTTAAGAGCAACCAAATAGAAGAGATGTTCAGGGCAAGGAAGGGGAGATACGTGGGGCATGCTGTCCTCCCAGGGGCTCAATGTGTTCACCAGCCCAGGTGCTCTCTCAGTCTTACTGTTGAAGAGCTTACAGAGCTCCCTCTCCAGCACCCTCCCCCATCCTCCACCCATTCTTGGCGGTCCATCAGGTCTCATCATCTGGTTTTTCTGGTGACCAGCTCCATCCTGAGGCTATCTAGTGGCCCCACCCTTAGTGATCTCATTAGCACAAACTCAAGTGTGAAACAAAGGGGCTCATTATTTAAAACAAATGAATAATCGCCAAGACTCTGGAAACAAGCCGTGCCCATCAACTGAAGATTGGCTTAAGAAGTTGTGGTGTATATGTATATATGCTGTACACCTGAAACTAACACAATGTTGTAAATCAACTATATTTCAATTTAAAAAAAATACAATGGAATATTACTCAGCCATAAAAAGAATGAAATAATGCCATTTGCAGCAACATGGATGGACCTAGAGAATATTATACTTAGTGAAATAAGAGAAAAACAAATATGACATCACTTGTATGTGGAATCTAAAAAATAATACAAATGAATCTATATACAAAACAGAAAGAGACTCATAGACATAGAAAGCAAACTTATGGTTACCAAAGAGGAGAAGGAGAGGGTATGGAGAGACAAAGTAAGATTATGGGATTAATAGATACAAACTACTATACTTAAAATAGATAAGCAACATGTGTTTACTGTATAGCACAAAGAACTATATTCAATATCTTGTTACAACCTATAATAAAAAATCATCTGAAAAAAATTATGTAACTGAATCACTTTGCTATACACCGGAAACCAACACAATGCTATACATCAACTGTACTTCAACTAAAAAAAAAAAAAAGGCTCCTATCACTCAGAAAATTTCAAGAGTTTTAGGAGCTTCTGGCAGGATCCGAGGCCAAGCATCAAATACATTTTTGTATTAGACCACACATACACATAAAGATCAAGATTACAGACCTCCTAGGAGTTGAGGACCACAGCATTCATCCAGGAGGACAAGACTAGGGAATCTGCATTTGCAGTGAGTATTCCTGGAGGAACGAATGCCAGCTGCCCAGAGAACAAAACATGAAATAACACTACACCAAGTTTCTGGTAGTCTAACTATGTCTCTTGAAGAAAAGTTCCCCTCTGGTTAGGAGAGAAATATTTTTAAAACAATGTTAACATTTTCAAGGTTCAATAGCTTTTGATGCAATGAAGAACTGACAGTGAGGTCAAGTTTTATTACCTGTGTTATTTATAGGGTTGTCTTTGCCCCTGGTATGGGAAAACAAAACTTGCATATCCTGAAATTGGCAGTCTGCTGGCTATCATGGAGACTGGTACATCACTGTCTATTTTTGTCCTTAGGCACTGTGTCAGGATGGATTGGGGTTTGCTATCCCAAAATAAAACTAACAAAACTAGTTTATTTCTCATACTAGGTGTCTATCCCAGGTTCTTAAGGGGGGGGTCTGCTCATTGCTACAACTCAGACCCTGGCTGTTAGCAGCTCTGTCTCAACACTGCTCCCATAGTTGCTAATAGCCAAGAATATCTGGCAGCCTGCTCATTGGTCTTAAAGCTGCCACAAAGTGACAAATATCACTTAGCTCACATGTCACTGGCTAGGGCAAATCACATGGCCATATCTGAGAGTGGGACTCCTGCCCTGTGCCCAGAATGGGAGAAACATTTGTGAACAACCTAGTAACAGATGACCACAGGATTTACATTTAGGTTTTTTAGGGGAGTTGGAGATGGGATGTTATTTATTTACTTTTATTGAGATCTTCTTTGGTCATTGCCATTCCTTGGAAATGGGAGTACCAAAGAATCAGTAAAGAGCCCATCATCATACAGGAATAGAGGAAGAGGACTACCTGTTGGGTTGGGTTAGACACCAAATTACAAGTGTAAAGAAGCATCTAAATAACAACTAAATGACAGAAATGCAATCCCACCAAGCCTACAATGTGTTACGTTCCCCAAAGTAGTGGGAAGTCTGGGGAGAGAGAAGAATTCCACATATGAAATAAGTTGGTCTTCACAGTCCTCAATTCCTCATCTGTTCAGATTCCCTGTTAATATTCCTCAAAGTGAGAGTTCCAAGAAACAGCAAATATCCAAATCTGAAGCTCCAGAAAGGGAGGGTGGGTGAGAAGGCTAGGTCCCTGGAAGAGCAAAGAACTTCCCGTCAGCATAAATATTCTTTTATTTCTCCTATCTTAAAAAAAAAGTCCGTATTTGCTGTCGGCAGCCCCTCTCCCCCAGTTCTGTGTTTGACCCACTCCAATCACGCTTCTGCTTGTGCCACTTCCCTGGAACTGCTTTACTCGAGTTCTCCGAAGACCTGGTATTGGTATATGCAACTGTTAGTTCGCCTAATCCCTTACCTAGACAAGTACACTTCACAATTTGATCACCTCCCTGCTTAAAACATTTGCTTCACCTGGCTTCCAGAACATCACCCCTCTTATCATTCCTCCTGCTTCAGTGTCCACTCCTCAGCCTCCTCTGCTCGGCCATCTGCTCCCGGACTGGAGTACCCCCGGGGCTCAGGCCCTGGGACTCTTCGTTCCTGTCTACACTTCCTTTCTTGGTGACCTCATCCAGTCTTCTAGTTTGAAGCATTGCAATATGCTGACCTCTCCCAGCTTCTCCCGCCCAGGCCTCTGTCCTAAACGCCAGACTTGTAGGTTCAACTCCCTTTGTGACATCTCCCCACGAAGGACACTGCAGGTTTAACAGTCCTGATCTGATCTCTTGAAACTCACTCCTCCGGGAGCCTTCCCATCTAAATTAAGGACAACACATCTTTCAGTTGCCCAGACTGAAACCTTGAAATAAGTCTTATCTTTTCTTTCTCTCACACCCCACATCTGTCAGCAAATTTAGTCTTCTCTATCTTTACATTACAATAAAATGTGTCCACTGCTACCATCTGGTCCAAGCCACTTCCATCTCTCTGGGACTTTTATAATAACCTACAAAAACTAGTTTCTCTGCTTTTTCATTTGCTCCCTTTAGACTGTCCTCAACACAGTAGTCAAAAATGATCGTAGAGCATCACTCCTCCACTTAAAATCCTCCAATGGCTTCTCTTGTTCCCATTCACTAAAGTGCCCTCCAAGGCCCAACAGAACCTGAGTCTCAACTTTTTATTCTCTCTGATCCAATCCCTCTACCTCCTTCTGTTCCTGCAACAGCCAGGCATGCTCTGATATCAGGACATTTGCACTTGCAAAAAGCGCTACCTTGGACATCTTTCCCCAGATATATAAATCTCTCACCTTCTTCACCTACTCAAGTGTTACCTTCTCACTGAGGCCTCTCTGACCTCCAAAACTTACCTCTCCTCAAGCCCATTCTAACACTGTAAGTCTTTCCAGTTTTATTTTGCTCTATAGCATTTTAAAACATGGTCCTGTGATTCGTCAAAATTCTAACATAGATAACACTAACACGTTTTACTTATTTTACTATCTCATCCTCTCTATCCCTAAAATGCAGACTTTGTGAGGGCAGCAATTTTTGTCTGCCATGTATCTGGCACCTAGAACAGTGCCTGGTACATAGTTAAGTGCTTAAGAAATATTTTTGATATAAATGAATGGTAGCTACTACTCCCCTCTTTTCTTTCTTTTTCTTTTTTTCTTCCCCTTTTTTTTTTTAAGATTTAGTCTCTTAAATATGAGCTGCTCTGGATTCAAGGCACTTAGGAAACGATGGTAACATGGTCAGATTTCAGAGGATAAGATTGTCCCCCTGCTTCTCGTAGCAGCTTTCTGTGTCTTAAGAAGAAAGTCCTAGATTATAAAAAGGGTCACTTTAAAAAAAATTTTTCTGTTGTTGGGGGGAATTAGGTTTATTTATTTACTTATTTTTTAATGGAGGTCCTGGGGCTTGAACCTAGGACCTCATGCGTGTTAAGCATGAGCTCTTCCGCTGAGCTACACCCTCCCCCAAAAAAGGGTCACTTCTTTTTTTTCTTTTTTCCTGCACAAAGAAAATTAATTTTATTTTATTTATTTTTTAACACTTTTATTGATTTATAATAATTTTACAATGTTGTGTCAAATTCCAGTGTAGAGCACAATTTTTCAGTTATACATGAACATATATATTCATTGTCATTTTTTTCTCTGTGAGCTGCCATAAGATCTTGTATATATTTCCCTGTGCTATACAGTATAATCTTGTTTATCTAGTCTAAACTTTGAAATCCCAGTCTATCTCTTCCCACCCCTCCGCCCCCCTGGCAACCACAAGTTTGTATCTATTTCTGTGAATCTATTTCTGTTTCTGTTTTAAAAAGGGTCACTTCTTAAGTGTCTGCAGCAACTAGTACACATTAAATCTCTAAGTTCTAAATAGGACCTGAAATAATCCTTATGCAAACCCTGTGTCAGCACCTGATTTCTGCTTGTGGAGCCTCAAAAATAAAATCGTTATTGTTGGATAACTGGGGTCTTAGTGAGGAAAATTGCATCTATTTCAC